ATCTGGTTAGCTCTGTCTTCATCTCATGGTCCCAGCAGGTTCCCTTGCCTTCCCGTGAGCCCAAACAGGCATTGGTAGGTCTTGTGCCCCATTTCTTAAATTTGCATAACAAGCATATTGTCAGGTGTCCAGCCTGCCGAATTGTCAGACCTGTGTGTATGTCCATCCAGTGGCTACCCCCTTCAACGTGGCTCTGTCCCAGCCCTCTGTCAGGCTTGTGTCACGCACATATGGTTTGTAATACCAATATGAGGATGTGTGCAGAGTCAGGACCCTGGTAAGTGTGTGATGGAGCTGGAATTTGAGCCTCTGTTTTAACAGGGGCGCTGTGGCTAGGCTGGCATAGAAGGTAGAGCAAAGTAATCCTGGCACAGCGAAGCCATCCAGTCCACAGGTGAAAAGGCTTATATATCTGCAGGGTAGGGAGTGGGGTTTGGGGTGTGGGGAGGGGCATACAGGTTGTTTGCGTCTTAGCAGCCCAGATGAGGGGGGCCATGAAGTAGACGATGGGTGGGTGGGAAATGGGTGTGTCTGACTGTGGGCCAGAGTAACCTGGGGCTCAAAGCAACTTGGAGGTTGCCTTATCCACTTCCTTCCCCGCTGCTTAAGACCTCTTCACCCCAACATCTTTAAACACTTCTCCACACCCATCATACCTGGTCAGTGATGCTTCATTGGCTTGCTATAGGGCCTTTTCCAACAGGCTGCCTGCCCTCAGCCTTATCCACCCTGGCTCTGAGAGCCAACTCGCTAACTGCTCACTGGGGTTTGCATTGCACATAGGGCTTCCTGCAGACTGCTTTGGTTCATCTCCATTCTTTACAGTAGATGCTACTGTGAACCCATTTTGCAGGTGTAGAGACAGAGGCCCAAACAGGCAAAGAGTGTGGGTGGCAGCAGTCCTGCATCCTGGCTAACTCAGGACCCTTCTACCCCCACTAAGAGCCCCAGTACCCTCCAGCAGGGCCGTGTTCAAATAGCTGGGAAGACCTGTGAGAAAGCGACTTCTCAGCATCTCCTCAGACTCCTTACTAAACCTTTCTGTTGATGTATCTGCTCTTTTCTACCCTGATTGTGAGCAGTCCTCCTTCCCCTCCCCCAGCCCTGACTTCTGTGTTTGACCAAGGCCTGAGGATGCAGATGTGAAGGAGCCACATCCCAGCCTTCTCCAGAGATGCTCACAGTATAATGAGGAAGAATGGATGAACCTATAAATGGCAGGTGGCACACTGCAGTAGTAATAGAGTAAGCGCTGCTGTGTCAGGCGTGTGCCAGGAGTCAGGCACAGAACTGAGAGTGGTAAAATAATTTTAACTTATAATTTTTACTTTTTGATTACTTAACAAGAAAAGCATTCAACCAAATTTTAAAAGTTAGGGTGGAATAATTTATAATAAAATAATCAACTGAAAATATTAGTCCTTTCATGTAGGGTCAAGAAGACCAATAGTTTCCATTTATTTTTAATTTTTTAAAATGTTATTGTTTATGCTATTACAGTTATCCTACAGTTGTCCCACTTTTCCTTCTTTGTCCTCCTCCACCCATAGTCAGTTTCTACCCTGTTGTTCATATCCATGGGTCCTTCATATATGTTCTTTGACTAATCCCTTCATCTTCTTTTTTTAAAAAAGATTTTATTTATTCATTTTTTAGAGAAGGGAAGGGAGGGAGAAAGAGAGGTAGAGAAACATCAGTGTGTGGTTGCCTCTCTCATGCCCCCTCTTGAGGACTTGGCCTGCAACCCAGGCATGTGCCCTTGACTGGGAATCGAACTGGTGACCCTTTGATTCTCAGGCTAGCACTCAACCTGTGAGCCACACCAGCCAGGGCCCTTCATCTTCTTTCAATCAGTCCCCACCTCCTTCCTCTCCTCTTAGTGCTGTCAGACTGTCCCATGATTCTGTGCCTCTAGATCTATTTTGCTCATTAGATTCCACTTATAAGTGAGATCACATGGTATTTACCTTTCACCAACTGGCTTATTTTACTTAGTATAATAGTCTCCAAGTCGTTCCATGCTGTTGCAAAAGGTAGGAATTCCTTATTTTTTACTGCTGTATTCCATTGTGTAAATATACCACAGTTGTTTTTATCCACTCATCTACTGATGGGCACTTAAGCTATTTCCAAACTTTGGATATTGTAAATAGCACTGCTATGAACATTGGGGAACATAAATTCTTTTGAACGGGTGTTTGGGGATTCTTAGGGTATATTCCCAGCAGTGGAATCACTGGGTCAAAAGGCAGTTCCATTTTTAGTTTTTTGAGGAAATTCCATACTGTTTTCCACAGTGGCTGCACCAGTCTGCATTTCCAACAACAGTGCACTAGGGTTCCCTTTTCTCCAGAACCTCTCCAACACTTGTTGCTTATTGATTTATTAATGATAGCCATTTTGTCAGGTGTGAGGTGACATCTCATTGTGGTTTCAATTTGCATCTCTCCTATGGCTACTGATTTTGAGCATTTTTTTCATATGTCTCTGGGCCCTCTGTATGTCCTCCTTGGAGAAGTGTCTATTCAGGTCCTTTGCCCATTTTTTAATTGGATGGTTTGTCTTTCTGCTGTTGAGTTGTATGTGTTCTTTATGTATTTTGGAATATATTTTGGAGAATTAACACTTGTCTGATGTATTGTTGGCAAATATGTTCTCCCATACTGTTGGTTCCCTTTTCATTTTAATGATGGTCCCCTTAGCTATGCAGAAACTTTTAATTTGATGTAGTCTCATTTGTTTATTTTTCCCTTTATTTCCCTTGCTCTAGGAGATGTATTAGCAAAAATATTGCTACACAAGATACCTGAAATTTTACTGCCTATATTTTCCTATAGGATTTTTATGGTATTACGACTTATATTTAAGCTTTTTATCCATTTTGAGTTGATTCAAGTGTATGGTGTAAGTTGGTCTAGTTTCATTTTTTAGCATGTACCAGTCCAGTTCTTGTAACACTATGAAGAGACTATTTTTACTCCATTGTATGCTCTTGTCTCCTTCATCAAATATTAATTGGCCATAAAGACATGGGTTTATTTCTGGGCTTTCTATCCTGTTCCATTGATCTATGTGTCTGTTCTTATGCCAGGACCAAACTGTTTTGATTACAGTGGCCTTGTAGTGTAGTTTGACATTAAGTACTGTGATCCTTCCAAATTTGTTCTTCTTTCTCAAGATTGCTGAGGCTATTTGGCATCTTTTTTTGGTTTCATATAAATTTTTTTGATATTTGTTCTAGATCTGTGGAATATTCCACTGGTATTTTAATAGGAATTGTACTGACTCTATAAGTTGCTTTGAGTAGTATGGACATTCTAATGATGTTAATTCTTCCAATCCATAAACATGGGATATGCTTCCACTTATTCATATCTTTCTCAATTTCTTTCTTCAGTGTTCTATAATTTTCTGAGTATAGGTCTTCTACCTCCTTGGTTGAATTTATTCCTATCTACTTCATTATTATTTTTTTGTTGTGATAGTAAATGAGACTGTTTTTTTAGTTTCTCTTTCTGATAGTTCATTATTGATGTATAAAAATGCCATAAATTTCTGAATATTGACTTTGTATCTCACTGCTTTGCTGAACTCATTTATTAGGTCAAGTAGTTTTTTTGTGGAGACTATAGGGTTTTCTATATACAATATCATGTTGTCTGGGAATAATGACAATTTTATTTCCTCCCTTCCAATTTGAATGCCTTTTATTTCTTCTTCTTGTCTGATCACTATGGCTAGGACTTTCAGTGCTATGTTGAATAAGAGTGGTGAAAATGGACACCACTCTCTTGTTCCTGATCTTAAGGGAAACACTTAGTTTTTGCCCATTGAGTGTGATGTTGGCTGTATGTTTTTCATATATGGCCTTTATTATGTTGAGTTATGTTCCCTCTGTTCCCACTTTGATGAGTGTTTTTTTTTAAATCATAAACAGTTGCTGCATTTTATCAAATGCTTTTTCTACATCTATTGATATGATCATGTGATTTTTGTCATTTTATGTGATGTATCACATCTATTGATTTGCAAATATTGTACCATCCTTGCATCCCTGGAATATAAATCCCACTTGATTATGGTGTATCATCTTTTTACGGTATTTCTGGGTCCAGTTTGCTAATATTTTGTTGAGGATTTTAGCATCTATGTTCATCAGAGATATTGGCCTGTAATTTTCTTTCTTTGTTGTGTCTTTACCTGGTTTCAATAGTTTCCATTTAAGCAGAGAATTACAAAATTGATATTTTAGCCTATATTTGATGGCACAGAAATATGAAAGTCATACAAGTTTCACTGAGACCTTCTCTTCCCTCCAGTGTATAAGTTATACAATTGCTCCTTCATTCAGTACTCAGACTTTATAAAAATCACCAGTTCTACTTTGAAATATACCTACAACCTTCCTGAGGACAAGAACACTCTTAAAGCCATTCTTAAAGAACAAACTCTTACTGTTCTCTTTCATCTTCATGAGAAAAGTACTGTTGCAGAGTTTCCATTATACATCTAAACACTGAGACACAGTGAGGGCTCATCACTAGCTAAAAGACCAGAGACTGAGTCTTCTGAGATTTAAACCCCAGTCTCTGGCTCAAAGACTGTGTGCAGTCTGCAGGTGGGGAAGTAATATTGCCTTGCAGTTTGTTGCCAGGTGCTATGAACGTTGTGGCATGTAGTTTGTACTGCTAATCTGAGTGTGGTGTGGAATGGGTGATGATCCACAGAGAGGCCTTCATGTGGCTTGCCAGAGCCTAGCAATGAGCCCACTGCCTTTCTCCTTTCCTGCCCTGTCAGCTCCCTAAGGGCATGCAGTGAGTGTGCGCAGGACATGGGCACTCAGGCATCGTCCAAGATGGAGCTTTCTTGGAGGTGAGGAATGGGTACTTGGTCTATCTTTGTGGAGCCTTTGCAGCGAGCTCAGCCAACCTCTTATGGAGGCCTCTCTTCTCCCAGGATGCCCTGGACCTGACCCCAGTCTCTCCACTCTTCTCCTGCAGGGAGCCGGGAGGCTGCCTTCACTTACGCCATCATAGCTGCCGGTGTGGCCCACGCCATCACAGCTGCCTGCACGCAGGGCAACCTGAGTGACTGTGGCTGTGACAAGGAGAAGCAAGGCCAGTACCATCGGGACGAGGGCTGGAAGTGGGGTGGCTGCTCTGCCGACATCCGCTACGGCATCGGCTTCGCCAAGGTCTTTGTGGATGCCCGGGAGATCAAGCAGAATGCCAGGACTCTCATGAACTTACACAATAACGAGGCAGGCCGCAAGGTAGGCAGCCAGGGAGGGGCGCTGGCAACTCTGGCAGAGATGCTTCAAAACAGCTTATTCCTAAGGGTTGGTGTTAGTGTTTGGTCTCTGGTAATGAGCCACAGAGCTTTGCCCTTAGCTCGGTGCTATCATCAATTTGCTGCTGGTCAGGATCAGTGTATGGCATGAAGCTTGTCAGTTAGAAGAGAGGTTGAATAACTGAATCTGTTAAAACAGATTGTATGTTATTCAGCAAGATGGAAATGGGGATGCTTGTGAACTCTTATCTTTGGGTCCACAAATCAGCTGTAGAAAACCCTGATTGTGGGGAGGGGTTGAGATCAGTTCAGTAGGAGTCATCCCTATGGAGCAGAGCTGCTAACCTGTCATTGATCACCTGAGCCAAAACCTGGAGCTCAAAATAAAGGAGGTGACCATACCCTTTTTATTGTCTCCTCAGATCCTTGGAGATCTGAGCTCTTGGATTTGGAGCCCAGATTGGAAGGAAGAGAGCTAGGGATGTTCTAGGATATTTATAGTGGATATGGCTGGGATAGAAAGGGGCTGAGTGATTAATGGGAATCTGACTGTCCTAGGGCAAGGGAGCAGAGGAGTCTGCAGGTCCCCACTTCAGAGTGAGGGCCCACGGGGTAAGGGGTATCCCAGAGAGGCAGGTCCAGCCAGTGTGAGGACAAGCCACAGCCATGAGATACAGTTTGAGTTACCGAGAAAGAAGTGAGCTCTTTATCCCAGGAAGTATTTGGGCCAGGCATCTCAGAGCACCTAAGTCCATGCTTCCTGACTCCAGTAGTGCTCTGAGCTGTGGCCTGAGGTTGAGTGTGGGCTCTTAACTGCCTTTGAAGGCTGAGGTGCTCAGAACCCATTCTGGAATCCCCAGGCCCAGGAGGTGTGTTTGGTGAGGAAAAGCTTAGATGTCAGGTTAGAGCTCTGTAGAGAAGTGTCTGTGAGCCAGGTCAGACAGAGAGGGAGGGCTTATTGCTGCCTGGGTGCGGGGCAGACAACTGTAGTGACAGGACTTGTGCTGACACCACTGGGGACCACAGATACAGGTGCCCAGGGGGGCTGAGCAGGAGCAAGAGTGACAATGACCTGGGAAACCATGCACAAGGCTATGTTGAACTAAGGCATGCAGACCACCTACTTGACTCCAGCCATTGTTGCTGTGCAGGATGCCAGCCTACTGTGGCCAAACATTCTGATTTTAGACTCAGGTTTTTATGTATAATCACTTCATGTTTTAAAAAGTGTTGGTATTTCAAACTGATAGTCACCAGTAGAAAAGGTAAAAAAAAAAAAGATTCCAGAGGCTCAAACATATAAATCTATTGGCTAAGTGTGGGCTGTGTGCTGCGCCACTTGGGTGACAGATGTATTAAGTGGTACAGATCTTGTTCTGTTAGAGCATGTCTGTCGGCCAAGCAGCCTTCTAGCTCTGGATATATCAGATCACTTAATTCTCAAGGCATTTCAAAGAACAATAGTATCATTATCCCCATTTTATAGGCAAAGAAACTGAGGCACAGAGTGGTTAAGTAATGTGCCGAGGGTCCCACAGTTAATAAGCAATGCCAGAATAAGACATGCCAAGCATGTCTGGCTCTCAAGCTGGCATTCTTTGCTCACTGCATGCTGTTGTGGCGTGGTGGTCAGAGGGCTGCCTGCGGGCTGGCACTGGCTGCCTGGGTTCAGATCTCAGCTTTGTCACTGATTCCTACCCAGGAAGGAAGAAGAGCTGGCAAGAGTGTCCTCAGGGCTGAGGTGAGGACTAAAGGGGACAAGGCAGGAGAGCACTTACCTCAGGGCTGGCACACAATTAGTCTGCATCACAGGGTGGCTATAATTCCAAGTATTGAGAATGTGTCATGCAGGAAGGAGCCTGTCTGCTAAGTGGTATTGGGGAGTAGCCTGTATACCTTGGAGGGGAGCAAGGTCCCCAAACTGCAGCCGAATGGGAAGGAATAAGCTGGCCTTTCCTCCAGTCCTTAGATAGTCTGCCTCCCTCCTCTTGTCTAGCCTCTGGCCACATCCTGGGTGTAAGAGCCTCCCAGAAATCCACGGTGAGTCAACACCTGCAGAGCCGCTCATCTGGCTTGCCCCAGGATGATGTCTTGGGGTAAATTGCTAGGCCCTCCCTAGCCGTACCTATTGAGTCCTGTGGTTGGGAGCTCCTGCCCACGGTCAGCAGTTCCTCCAGGCTGTTCAGCTATTCATTCCTCCTGGTTTCTGTAGACAGATCCCTCCTTAGGGCTTGGTCACAGGTCACAGGCTCCCTCCTGCCCTTGAAGCTCTCTGTCCCTGGGGACAGAAAACAGCAAGACAAGTGGCTTCCCTCTTCCAGCCTCAGTTTTCTAATCTGTGGCAACCTGGTAGGGCCACTTGAGAATTAAAGAAGAGAATTCCTAGCTTGGGGCAAGAAAGATTCAGTGTACATCAAGTAGGATAGGGTTTCATAAGCCACACAGCTCCAGGGGTGTGATGACTGTGGTTGCTGTTCAAGGCAGCTCTAGGGCAGTGCAGATGTTGGAAGCTGTCAGATGTCTTGAGATAAACTTTAGGGGCTTCCTGTCAGAAGTGTACCCCCAAAGACAAGTGAGGTTTAGTTAGGCAGGGAAGAGAGGTGAAGGCAACCGAGGGCTGGTGTGGGGAAGTAGGGCCCAAAATCCCAGAGATGGGGGCTTGGGGCAAGTCAGGGGCCCAAACTGGCTGGTCTGTGGGTCCCTGATAGGGTAACAGCAGCCGTAGAGCCTGTAAGGTCACCTGCCAGGCCAGTGAGTGAGAGCCTTGATCCACACATGCCCCACCCCACCCCCAAGATCTTCCTGTGGCTGCTCTTCAGGTTTCCGCTCAGATGCCCCCTCCTCAGACAAGCTTCCTTTTCGATTCTTTCCTTGCATTTTCTTGGCTGTCATCTTGTTCCTGGGCTTGCCACCCTCCTGCCCCACTCCATACCAGATCGTAAGCTTAAAGGGCACAAGAGATCACATGTGTCTCATTCACAGCTGCACCCCAAGGGCTGGCATACAGAGTTGCTCTGTGTATGTAAAGAGTGAATGGTTTCGTACCTTATGGTCACTGGGGAACCACTAACGGTTCAGGAACAGGGAAGGGCAGAGGTCATAGACACCGACTCCCAGAAGGCATAGTGAGGCTCTGGATTGGGGATGAAGACTAAGCGCAGGCCGGGCTCTCCCAGCACAGGGAAACCAGCTGTGTGGATCTCCCTGACCTGCCCAACTCCATTCTGGTTTGTGACAATGCTTGTGGGTGGCTTCCTAGACAGCAGTTCAACCAGAGCCAAGACCTGGAATTCGGGACTCCCCAACATACAGAAGAAAAGGCCTGACCAACTGAAGCTCTGGCCTTTTTGTGGTATGGGGTCCCCACTGGCCCTCAGACACCTAGAGTAGTGGCCACACTACTCAACCAGGTCACAGCAGGAAGGTGGTCTCCCAGCCTGGCCCTCTCTGCTACAGAGCACCGTGAAGACCCAGACACATATCCAAGTGGCCAGGAGCAAGGACAGCCACATCGCCTGGGGTATATAAGGCTTAGTGTATATCAGTTCAGAGTCCCATCCCTACTTGGGGCCTCAGTCTCCCCATCTGTCAAATGAGGACTATAACCCTCAGTTTGCTCTGGATCCCAGGTACTGGTCAGGGCCAGGTGAGGGCACACACAGAAGGCCCCCTGGGATCATGCTGTGTGCCATTTATTTGAAGGCATGGGCCCCTACCCCAGAAGGTCCCCCACAGTAGGCTTCCATGGGCCCCACACACTCACACAGCAGAGGTGGGGAACCGACAGGAGAAAAGAGGCCAGCCCGCAGCCACTCCTAGCTGAGTGTCTTGGAAAGGATCACAGATGTGTTTATCACTGGCTCCCTCACTCCGGCTGTGCGGAGACAAGACTCAACCTGACCACAGGCTCTGGGGCTTGTTGGCAGCTGGTGTGAGAAAAGGAGGAGGCAGGAGAAGTCGGAGGGGGGGTGCAGCGTGTGTGTGGAGGGACAGAGGTGGTGGCAGGCCCAGTGAGGGGAAACCTGGAGCAGCCCACCTACTCATCTCCCAGATGGGGGAGAATGAATGCTGTGGGGGCATCCTGCCGTCACAGGTCTCCAGTTTCCTCGGGCAGAACCAGGTGCCGTCTTGTGGAAGTAGGCCACGGGGCTGGGGAGGTGGGACACCTCTGTGGGCCCACCAGCTTTTCTTCCCCTCATTGTCCCATGCAATTGTGTGGTCTGCAGGGTTGAATCAGAATGACTAGGTGAGAAGATAGAAATTATAGTCTTTCCCTATTGAAATTTTAGGGCCATAATGTTTTTGGATTGAGATCACAAACTGTTCAGGTTGGGAATGTGGAATATTAGGTTCACATTCACACATGTGGGATTTGGAATCATAGGGTCTTTGGTACGGAGGGAAAGAGACATCAGAAGTGTGAGTGGAGATCTTTGGATGGTAGAATCATTGTGGCTTTGAATGACTTCTTTCCAGGCTTTTTGGCAGTGGGGAGATGAGCAAACCATGATTCTGCCCTCAGGGTACTCATCTAGTGAAAGAGTCAGATAAGAGGAGCAAAAGTTATGATTCAGGCTCACACCACAGGGGAAATGCCACACAGGAGGCTCAGAAGATCCCAGAGGAGGGAGTGCTTTCCTTGAGGAGAAGTCTGGAGACATCTAGGGGAAGAAGAAGGGACCACTAGAAGGGCTTTGAAGGATGAGTAGGAGTCCTCCAGTGGGCAAGAGAGGTGGAAAAGAAAAGGGCAGTTCAAGCAGAGGTGACAGTAAGTCCTAAAAACACATGGATGGGCAGTAGGTTGGGGGTGCTCCATGTGTCGTGTTCCCATTGGACAGATGGGGAAACAGATGGAACTCAGAACTGATACACACTAAGCCTTAGTTATCCCAGACTAGGTGGCTATCCTTGCTTCTGACCACCTGGGTATGTGTCTGGGCCCTCAGGTTGCTCTGTAGCAGCAAGTGAGAATCTGACCTGCCA